GTAAGAAAACAAGGAACATGGAAATGTACTACAGAAAAGTCAAGTACTGAGAGAGAAGCACTGTGAACATTTGTATGCGTCCTTTCTGATTTCCTCCATGTGTGTATATTATACACACACACCATGCATATGAATACTTATAAACATTGTTTCATAGTACATATGCATGCTGTTTTTAACTTTTAAGAAATAACTATGATAAACATTTTGTTTGTTGTTTGTTTTATTTTTCTTGAGCTCTTTAGCTGGTCCTCTCTCTGTGTGGAAACCTTGATGCACACCCCCCACACACACACACACACACATGCACATCAGCCGTTTCCTTCTTCCCTTCTATTCTCCCCACATCTGGTGTTGAAGGTTAAACTCATACATGGTAAGTGACTGATAGAACCTGACTTCAGTCCCAAGTTTTGTACAAGGTCTACCAAAAAGAAACGTGCACAGACTTGGACCGTATCCAAATCTACTAAATCGAGAGGGGAGAGGGGAGAGTCCATTTTGAAGAGTTCTCAGTGAATTCAGCAGCTAGCTCACTCTTTGATTAAGGGCTAAAGATAGCTTTTGTCTAGCGATGCTTTGAAAGAATGAACAGAAATGATTAATGAAATAAAAGTCTAAGTGCAGTGTCCTCAAACCCTCTGCTATTTTAAAGTCCAATTCAAGATGCACACTGCTCCGTGGCCTTCGTGCTTCTTGCTCACACTCATATTGTCTCCGCGCCTCTGAGCATCCACACTCACAGTGTGGGAGGATCATTGCCCCGTTCTAATTCTTCTACATCACATACGGCATGTCTCATTACCTCAGTTTCTTTTAACATATTGTTTCTCTGGAGTTTAACTAACCCCCATTAACAAAATCTCCTTAAAGTCAAGGACAGTGTGAATTACTTGAAGTTCTAGCCTCTGTGTCCAGATGACTGCTACATTCCCAAAATATATTTGAGTAAGCAAACTGCATATCAAATTCATTTTACATTTTTATGTAAATGTGGGCATGGTATAAACTGACAACATGGCCTCTCCAATATATGGTTGAGGGGAAGGTTTTTATTGTAGATACAAAGGGAGAGTAGAGGCAGAAGCATCTTGAAGTGTCCAGAGCAGAAAGTAGTAGGCTGCACAGGGTCAGAGGAATGAACCAGGCCTGGTGGAGAGGTGGGGAGAAAGGGAGAAAGACAAAGAGATTGCAGGAAAAGGAGACAAAGAGAGGGCAAGAGAGATTACTAAGAGAGGAAGACGAAAGCTCAGAGCTGAAATATAGCAGGATTATAAGAAGTCTAAGAAGCTGGGGGGAGGGAAGCCTCTGAGCTGTAGGGGTGGGGTGAGAAGAGCAGAGAGAAGCCTGGATGCCAGCATGGACTTTGAAATGTATAACAGGTATTTGCCATACTGAGGGAAGCCAGAGGCCAGCAGGCACTTTGGTATGCTAATAGCCAGCACAGAGAGCCATTGATCCCTTCTGCCAGGGATAAAGGAAATGACTTCTTTGGTAGAGAAGACTGACCTCACAGATTCCTGAGGAATGCTGGCTTTTGTCTAATTGCCAAAATCTGGACCTGATAAGTATTTGTAGATCACATTTTTTTTGTTGTTGTTGCTCTTGTTGTATCTACTTTGTCAAATTGCCGGCTTCGCTCTTCCCATTCTTCCATGTTTAGATGCTCAACTACAAAAGTCAGGTTAAGTTTTAAGGAACTAGAAATGAAACATTCTTAGACCTGGATAAATTTCAAGGTAAAAAGTGGAAAATTATAGAATATCTAATGGAGCAAAATGGAGTGTATTACAATGTATGAAATGGTATTTACAACAGAGAATTGTGGTTGGCTCATGTGTTGACTCATAAGAATAATACTCAGCCCTATCTGTACAAACGCAACGTCAACTTTATTGACAGGCAGATGATACTTTTGGTTTTATGGGGCATCTTTTAGCAGAATCAAAGTGAATTTCTTTTTCTATCCATTTGTAATGGGATTCAAATAACAGGCACTAAGTCGGTTAGGAGCATCTGTCCGCAGGAGTGCCCTTAGCCTCACATAACTTCACAGAAACTTCAGTGTATCAGGACATAGGAGAGTGCTATTTCACTTGAATTTGTTGATATTAGTCCTCACGTTCCCAGTCTTCCTCGCAGAATATAGAGTCTTGCATTTACATAGGACTGGTTTCCTACTCACTCACATGTTCCAGAATGCATGACACATCAATGGGTGCTGCTCTGTGATGCTGGCATCAGCCACGGGTTGCTATCTGATGTATCATAAACTGCCCCAAATGTCTTCATGGGAAATAGGGCAAAGTTCACAGACTGAAAATTCTGAAAATGCTTACTTTGCATGCCCTGTGGGTAGCTCTGGTCTTCAGTGTGCTGCTGAAGTCACCATCATAACATCAAGGATGCCCTGTAATAAATGTTCACAGCACTTTGGGCTTGTGTATCTTCTGCCATGTGTCTATTTAACAAAAACCAGGTGTTTTGTTCCTGTTTTTGGAGGAGGGATTTGGGTTTTAATATACTATCTAACTTAACATGTAGTAGCGTTTATATGTGAAAACCTAGATTTATTCTAAGAACTATTCCGCCCCATGACTAGGTTATGTGGCAGAAACGTGAATGATCCCTTCCCAATTTCTAGCCAGAAAATGACCAAGGAATTTCTAGGTTAACAGCCAACTTTGAGTTCAAAAAGAAAGCAAATTGGTTTTAATGATAGGTATCCCAAACCTGTATAGATCTTACGAATAAGTAAGGAGCTGCAGAGACGGTTCAGTGGTTGGAGCACTGACTGCTTTTGCAGAGGACCCAGGTTCAATTCCCAGCACCCACAGGGCAGCGCACAGCTGTCTGTATCCCCAGTTCCAGGGGATTCACTGCTAGTTCTCAGCCTCTGGGCACTGGGCGCTGAGCACAATATACATTCAGACAAAACACCCATTAACCTAAAATAAAGTAGCAATAAATTATTTAAGAAAAAGAAAAGTTAGGAAAATAGGAAGCAAACGTGTTGAACTACTTCATCTAGTTGCCTTGTAAGCAAATTCAAGTCATTGTTGTGCATGGTAAATAAAAGCGGTATTTACTGGCTAATTGAAAATTAAAAGAAGTTTAAGAAAATGAGTGGAACAGCAAGAAGAGAAAATGAAACCTATGAGACTAGGGATGTGTGTGGCTGTATAAGCAGACTGCCTGAACTCTGCAGGCAAGACTGAATCGTTCTGAGTTAGAGCAGGCTCCTGTGCCACCTCGATGGGCGGGATCATCTTTGCCCTCATCCTTACCTTTGCCCACCCTAAGTCACATCTTTCCATCCAAACTTCCTGCTCAGAAGGGCTCCCAAGGCCTGGCCCATCCCCCCACAGAACTGTCTGTCTGAGATACCCACAGGCCAAAGTAACCTGCAGCCTCCTTTCCCAGGGCCCTAAGAACCAATCCTTCCTATCTGCTTTAATAGAATTGCTGAGCCCACACCATTGGGTGCCTAACAAAAAAAGGAGCCCCTCGCCAAATCTCACTTTTGGCACCCTCCCCCCAAAGTAAAAGGGAGTTTACACAAAATACATCTTCACGCAGTTCAGGATTTTTGTGTATCTTGTCCCATAAAGCCCATGTCAATGTTTAACTCACTCCCTGTGATAATGCTGGAAAGAGAGAGAGAGAGAGAGAGAGAGAGAGAGAGAGAGAGAGAGAGAGAAAAGTTTCTCAGAATTAGGAAGACTCACAAAGACCAACATTCCTGAAAAGGCTGTTGTTTGCGGCACAATCAGGGAGAGCCATGTGTATCTCCAGGTCTGGGAAACCATTTAGAGAAGACATCTTATTTTCATTAAATCAAGGAAAATCCAGTCTGGACAGCTAGAACATGGAAGTTAATCAATGAAACAACGATCGATCTCTCCCTTCTCTTCTTACCTAGTTAAATAACCTCCTGGTTTCCCCATGGGTGCTTTCTGGGTTTTCATTTTCTTTCTCTTTTGAGTCAGTCTTTTCCGCTAGTCCAAGGATGCCTCAAGTTTGCTCTGTATTTTGGTAGCCGGGAAGTTAAGATCCTCTAGCTTGGGGACTGGGCACACACCTGTCATCATTAGAGTGCCCTCTTAGGCTAGAAATGGGGCCTCACTGGATCCTTTGAATTTGGACAGCAGAGGCCCCGCCCTCCTAAGTGAGCGTGCGTGTCCACTTTTCTCTCCTGTGAAACTTTCTTGCGCCCATCAGAAGTCTCTATCAGAGCAGCAAGGGGCAGGTTTCAGACAAAAAGTAAACTGAATCAAATCTTCATGGCGTGTGGGTTTGCCTGGCGTCCGTTTATTCTCTCTGCCTTCTCCATCTGCCTTGTATGGGCCTGTAAAACCGCGGACCCCAGCTAGGTAATAGCGAGACTGTAGAGGTAATTTTGCTGGGGTTTTGGTTTCATCACATTAGCCCAGCTTGACTTCTCCCCACAACCTTCTATTCGAATCTCCTAAGGGCCAGGGTCTGGCCGTGTCCAGTTAAACTCTTAAGTGCCTGATATTGTTTGTAAAAGGTCAGGCAGGACTGCTTTCAAAGGCCCTGGGGAGAGCGTCTGATTGACAGCTGGGTCATTTTGGAGTCTAAATTTTAAGAGTCCAGATGGAAAGGGCCCTAGGCTGCCACACAAGCCCACCACACTCCAATTCCTATGGGGGTGCTGTCCCTTAACTTCCTTTATCCTCCTCAAAGGCTAACTTTGCTACGTCACAGCTGCTCTTAAAGCTCCACGTCCTTAACGTGGGACTTTGTTACTCAATCTCCGGCCTGTTATCCTGCTAACATCAACATATATGCAGAGGGTTTTCAGACTCGGTGACACTGGGACTTTGGGCTGTCAGCTCCCCGGCATCACTCCAGCTTAGAACACGAGTGGGAAAGTTTCTTTCCGCGTTGACAGGGCTCAATCCCCACTTCCTCCCGGCTGCTGTCTGTCTGGGTTTGGGGTAGTAACCTGCCACCTCCACCCTTGGTCTGCCTACGACATGGGGCGGGGATTCCCGCGGGCCTATAAAGCAGCAGGTGCTTACCGCACCCTCGGTCTGCTCACACGGCTCCCTCCTGACCTGTGGCCACCGCCCCGACATCCCAAGCCAAGCCCGAGGCGCTGGCCGCTCCCGCCGCCCGGAGCCCGGCGGGCTGGGCATCCCCGCACCGGCGCTCTCTCGCTGTTCCGCGGTCCCGCTGCTTCTGCCGCCCGGTGCCGCCGTCGAGTCGCTGCAGAGACCCGGTCGCCGCCGGCTCGCGGGACCAATGAGAACTCCGCTGCTGCCACGGGCGCTCCCGGTGCTGTCGCTGCTGCTGATCTTAGGCTCAGGTGAGCAGCCGCCCCCTCCAGCAGCCGCCTGGGCTGCCCCTTAAATGACGCCAAGAAATTTGTTCGCCCGGGGAGCAGAAACTCCAGTAGCTTGCTCTGTTGAAGTAGCTCCTGCTAGGAGGGTGAGAGAAGCAGACAGGAGTCTCTAGCATTTCCCAAGGACCAAGCTGCTGGAGAAGATCTACACTAAAATCCAGCTGATGGAGACCTAAGAGGTCATTTTTAGGTCAGCCTTGCCTTTGACAACGGAGGAAACCGAGTCCAGACAGGTGAAGTAATTTCCACCAGAGTAGTTAATCCAGGAGAATTTGAGCAGGGCTCTTTGCCTTCTGTCTCTATCTCTTGTGTCTAGTAATTTTATTTTTACCTTTCTAAAGTGTCTCAAAGTGCCCTAGAGAGAGGTTAAAAGCACTGCTGTCAGTGCCGTTTTGAGATTTAAAATAAATAAATAAATAAATAAATAAAAAGTTAAAAGAGAAGAGAAAGAAAAAGCAAGGGCTCCCCAACGTTGCCAGGTGTCCAACCTTTTCTCTGTGATAATAGTAGTGGACAAAGACAGTAAAAGTCCTTGCTAAAAGGCACCACCTTTTAGATTTTATGTCCAGATTCAACAGGAGTAAACAGGTGTTCAAATGTATCTCTACATCCCGCGCGTGTTTAAAAAGAGGCAGGAGCGCACAGGCACAAAGGCATGCAAGCTGGTCGGACCTTCAGTGAGAGGCTATTAGACATTGCCTGTTAACGTGATTCTCCTGGATTGACTTGGCAGGATATGTAAGTTGTGGAAATTAATGTAGGTTGTCTGTGGAAAAGAAAACCCAGATAAAAGGAACTCTGTAATTGGAGCGGATCAGCTGAGTTTGCTTCTTGGCAAACAGCACCCTTCGCTTGCTTGCGGTAGCTGCTTTGATACAAGAAGACAGCTTCCCCAGCCCTGCTCACTTAGGGAGACAAAGGCAGCTAAACTCATCTCTACTTATTCCCTCCCTGCAGGCCTTTATGCAGCTGGGTTGAACCTCAATGACACCACCTTTGGGAAAAGTGAACCATCTTCCGGGGACCACAATACCAGTGGACTTGCGGTTTCTGCCGTAAGTGAGATGCCCTCTGGCAGTGAACTCTCCACGGGGGACTATGACTACTCAGAGGAATATGACAATGAGCCACAAATACCTGGCTACGTGATAGATGATTCAGTCAGAGGTGAGTGGAGGAGACCGGGAAAACGTCGCCTAGAGATGTGCTTGAATCTTAGTGATGGGATTTCAGAAGGAACACGACTTTTCAGCTTTCCACTGGCCTTGTAGGTGTGGTTATTGCATGTCCTTTAAAGAGCTATTGTAGGCTGCATCCTATAGGTCCAAGGCTAATCTTTGCAATTCTGGTAAGAAGTTAGTATTCTCATTTTACACAGTAACTGAAGTCCAGAAAGGTTACATGGCCCAGAGAGCTCACAGTTGAGTCAGAACAGAACCTCAGTCTGCTTGATTCCAGGGAACAAGTTCTTTCCAAATGTGCCATACACCCTTCATTCTGGGAGCAGAAGGAGTCATTAACCATGCCTCTGGGCCTTATAGCTCAACATTTATGTCCCCTCCCCCACTCTACCTGTCCTCAAATAGCAAGTATTTTAACACAAATAAGGGAACAGAATAAATAACGATTGACCTCTAGAAATGTTAAAGAAACACAAGTATGTGTGGCTTTTATTTTTTCCAAACTAATGACCCCCTTTTTTTCTCTTTTGCTCTTATCATACAGATCTTAAAAAAAAAAAACAACTTTTTTTGAAATGAGAGAGAGATAAAAAATTCAGTACCCCCATTTTACTTTGCATTTTGAGGGAAGAAGAGACCATTGATAGTTCAGATTTAGGAGTGTCTACATCAGAGGCAGAATAAGGTGATTTCAGAGTTCTTTAAGGGTTTCTGAAACTTTCCTTGAAGCCTCTCCTCCTCCCCCTCCTCCTCTGGAGTCTCCTAGAGCTGAGGAGGAGTGAGTGGGTTCCCTAACACAGGGACTGGGGCAAGTGACAGGAGGAATAAACCTCATTGACCATTTGGCTTCAGTGCCTTGCTTCTAAATGTTTTGTTTGTTGTTGTTTTTGCTTTTTTTTTTTTTTTGATATATGTAATGGGAAAGGAGTTTAGAGTAGACCATCAGGTGTCCAGGAGCTGACCTCTTGAAGACATGTTTAGTTATTAACACTTCTGGAGGCCGAATCAATTACTAGTGCAGCAAGTGGCCAGGGCTTAGAATTGCAGCCCAGTGCGTGAAGTTGAGACTGCAGGTGAAATTCATTTGGAAGGCTGTTTACTTAAATGCCTATGGGTGTGCTGTTGGTGCTGCCATTCAACACAATGACTATCATTCGGCTTGGATTCTAATCTCCCTGATGAAGGGGAGTGATATTCATTTGAACCAGTTCTCCTCGAGGGCTTTTCTAACTTGCGCTTTTAATAATCAGAAGGAAGGTTTTGTGTAAACACTGCATGGCCACCTACTAAACATTGCGCTCAATTACCATTTGTTAACGTACTGAAAGCAGACTGCTGCAAAAAATTCTTACTAGCGTTTCCTTCAGACAGAAACCCTGTCTGTGACACCCCTGTTAACCTTCCGCTAACATTTCTGTTGTGTTCTGTGTGATTTTGAGTGCTTGCATCGCCTTTGGGCTAGCTGCGCTTTCTCTTCTTGGTGGGCTCCTTTTGCTAAATAAGTGATCGTACACACCTGTCGAAGAATCAGCACAGCAAAATGTACAACAATAAACAACTCAAACCTTCCCTTCCCTGTCTTGAGCACGTAACTAGCTACACCTTTCATAGTCCTAGGGACTCCAGATCTGATAAGTTGAGGTGACATTCTGAAGCATCAGGCATAGATATTTCAGTTCTATTTTAAACAGATAGAACACAACAAAGACCTCCCCCAGAAGGTATTTATTGCTATTGTTTTCAATAATACTCATTTTCCAGTTCAATACCACCCTCGAGTAGTGCCCACTAACTTCCAGCTTAAGACAGTGAGCCTAAGACATGGGTGGGGTAGGAAAATCGGAAAATCGGCAGATTTGTCTACATTTCAGTCAGTGGCATTGTCCTTGTCCAAGAGATGTTGTTTGGTACAATGTAAACAAAAAAGCACACAAACAAACAGATGTCAAGTCTTAAACATGTCCGCTCTGAGCTTTGCAGCTGCTTATCCTCGGGCATACATGACTTGGCTTCACTGAACGATTTACCTCTATATTACGAGAAGCACAGTGCACCTAACTATGTACATGCTTGGGTAAAATAAAAGTTGCTTGGGACAGAGATTAGCAAGTACTATCTGACATCGATATTCTCTGCAGGTTTAGCATGTGAGCGCTGTGTTAAATAACGAGGCAAAAGTTGTTCTCGGTGCTGTGATTTCTGAGTCTCAGGTGTTTCGAATGATTCCCAAGATGAAAAGAGAATGTTTACAGTAAGTCTGACCTTAACGTGCCAAACTTTCTTTTCCTCCAGTTGAACAGGTAATTAAGCCCAAGAAAAATAAGACAGAAGAGGACAAGACTTCAGACAAGCCCAAAAGAAAGAAAAAGGGAGGCAAAAGTGGAAAGGGTAGAAGAAACAAAAAGAAGAAAAAGAACCCGTGTGATGCTGAGTTCAAGAATTTCTGCATCCATGGCGAATGCAGATACATGGAGAACATAAAGACTGTGACCTGCAAGTAGGTTCAGAACCACATGAAATTCCCTCTCCCCCACCAGGCCTGACAACCCCAGAGAAAACTATTGATTTTCCTGTGTGTAAACCAAAGAGCAGAAACTTCATTAAAAGATTAGGTGGGAAGTAGGTAGGCTTCTTGGGCAAACAGCATGTCTGTACACCCAACTAAAATGTAAGCACTTAAAAATAGGAAAAAAAATCTTAATTTGCAGGCTATAAAAAGTAGGGCAGAGGCTTTCATGTTGTCCTTCATCCCCAACCCCTCACTAGCCCCTAACACTGAGAGTGGAATGTATTAGCAGCAAAAACAGGCATTGAAGCCATGCCGTCAATGGGTCAAAGGAAGCGCAACGAATGACTCACTGTGTCTTCTTGGCCCATCACACTCACGCTGATCATACTTACGCTTAAAAATCCTTAGCTAGAATGCATTTCGTGTTTCGTGATTTTGCGGTATAGATGAAGGTGTGGCCTTCCGAGGTTAAATTAGGTGACTCTCATGAAGTAGTAGACCCGGAACCTGCAGAACCTCTTCAATAACTGTATTTATGAAATGTGATGCCACAGCTGTCATCAAGACTACTTTGGTGAGCGGTGTGGAGAGAAATACATGAAGACTCACAGCGGGAATGACAGCGACCTATCCAAGATCGCACTACTGACCATAACCATCTTTGTCTCTGTCGTAATCTTCATAGCTATTGGCGTCGCTGTCACCATCCAGTAAGTACAGTACCACTTAAGAGTTACCTCTTATCAGCAGTTCTGCCAGGCTCTACTGTCATATTCTACATGAGTTATTTTATAGCATGTGACCCTTGAGCAGAATATAATTAAACTTTGCATTACTTTGACTACCATTGAAATGACATATAAAACCATTTTTTTCCAGAGCTAGAATTTTTTTTAGCTTAAAAATTGATATTTTTATTACTTATTATACTTTTGGTGATGGTTATTTCTTAATCTCAGAAAGTGCTAGTATTGTCTGTGACGACTTTAAACTTAAGCTTAAAGCTTCTCAGAAACTAATTAGGGTCACATAAGTCATTAGGGCCACATTGGGCTCATAGCCCAAACACACTTCTCCAGCATTAAAAACACAGTCCTGAAGGGCTTCAGAGCAGCAGTCAGGGAAAGGTCGGTCCCTTCTCACAGCACAAAGCTAAGCTCTGAGCTTGTAATTTCTTGGCATGGCACTGATTGGTTTATAGCTTAGACCTGTTTCTGTCCTTATTGGGTATTATAGTGTGGGAATGCATTAAGAAACAAAGCGAAACATTTCCTCCTGATGCCATGGTGTGGGCAGCAAGGGCAAACTTTGTTACTGTGGTCCTCCCACAGCATCTTCCCTGGGCAACACGCCTCGCTTCAGGAGCAAAGAATGCCCCCACTAGACTGTTCTGATGGGTACATCAGCTTGGTATTGTCTCCCAGACAGAAGTCACTGGATAGGGGAAGCTGGAGGAGGGCCTGCGAGGCTCTAGAATGACTCACTGCTGCTAGGGCTTGGGAAAAGCAGTGGGTTCATTATTCTAATTTTAGGTCTTGGTAAATTACTCTTAACAACTGGATTGTGTACACAATCCATCACTGCTGTTCTTCAGGATATGGGACTTATCTCCTGCCATTGTTTACTATTATCTCCAATTCAGATCAGATAGTGATCCAATGACAGGTAAAAGCTATTTTATGAAGCACATGGAGTTTGATGTGCAGTTTAGATTTGTTTTGCACACCTGGAATGTCTTCTAGTGCCTCAAGCCAGGTATGCAAATGCATTTAGGAATGAAAGGAACCCCTGCAAATCACTATTATTTGTCATGGAGAAATAGGAAACAAAATGTCAGCTAAAGATGTCTCCCAATGGCTCCGCTTGCACTTGCTCATCCTTCAGCGCTCGCTAACCCTCTGGCAGGGTGGAGAATGACGTTTGTTCTCTGTTGGCTCTCTGTTTTCTTTGTGGCTGTGACAGGGCTAGAGCTCAGGACCTCACACGTGGTCCAAGTACTCAGACACTGAGCAGCTTCTACTTCTTTGCCATAAGATCCGTGTTTCCCAAGCTCTCCTTGAATTTGTGACCTTCCTGTCGTGGTTTCTGGAGTAGCTGGGACGGTGGGCCTGTACCACCAGCCTGACTCCATTCTATTGCTGTTAAGTAGTGATTTTTTTTCTCTTTTCTCTCAAATTTCTTTTATATTTGACACAATCAGCACGAATCTTAAGCCATGTCTACTGAGCAATTTTTCCCTATAATTGATAGGAATATTTTTCCTTAAGCATAACAAAGTTCTTTTGGATTTAAAGGCAATGTCTGGTGGAATGACCAGGGAACCACTAAAAGTAGTGGACAACATCCCCCCCTCCAATTTTAAGCTATGGGTTTTAAAAAATAGAATGCAGTAATAAATAAAATTAGAAGGAAACATTTAAATTTGGAAATAAAACACACATTGTTTTGTAAACATTCAAAAATTCTAGCAATTTAAACTCACTTAATAGGAGCTTAAATTCATTCCTATATATTAATTTATGTTCATGGGGTCCTTCTATTGTACACCATCACCTCCCAATGCTTAATCCTTCGCGAGTAACCACAAAAGACTATGTTCTACTGTGTGAAAGTTTTCGTTGTGAATACACACTTACACTTGGGCGGTCTAGACATGTGTTTCTATAGTGAAAGCGTGAATGTCCCCCTGAAAAAAATATTGACCAGATATTGAGTTGTGTTTAGGTTTTGGTTTAGTGCAACAAACCAAAATATAGTGATTGTCTGTAAAGGTCACAGGAAGGAAGTCCCCATTGTGAAAATCCCCATTGTACAGGTTGGTAGGACTTGCTAACAGTGGGGTTCTGTCTTCTCCGAAGGCTTCGAAAACGATACTTCAAGGAATATGAAGGAGAAGCCGAAGAGCGGAAGAAGCTTCGACAGGAAACGGGAAATGTGCACATCATAGCCTAGCTGAAGACAGTCCAGGTTTGGCCATTAGAGTTCATCTGCCCGTTAGATGATCGCAGCACCTATCTCAAGGCAGAGGAGGACTCTGTTCCTAATCAGGAGTTCGTGGGAACAGCTGTTCAGAGGACTGTTAGGCTTTGAGGAAGACTGACTTCAGCCTTGTGAAGACTAAGTGTTTAATCATTGCTCAAAGGGATGTAGATGCGGGGAACTCCAGTCCTGTTCTCAAAGAATATAATGCTTACTAGCTGGAGAGGAGCTGTGACGGATCAGAGCATTGAGGAATGTAAGACAGAAACGTAAGGAAGGGACTGCTAGAAAATGCCCTGCACCCAAAATGACCTTCCGAGTTGGGAAGAATTTATGAAATCAGGAGAGCAATTACGAAGAAAGATTGGCAATACTGAGAGGTTAATGGGTCGTTTTAGGAACATAGAATTGGCCTCAGCCGGCTGATCGTTGGGTGAGATAAGGGAATAATGACAGGGTGGGCTCACACGGGGAGGGCCAAGAGGAGCTTATTTGGTGAAAGGAGATCCTTCTGGAGACAAGAATTTGAAGGTTCCTTTAAGAAAAGGGACTTGCTTCCTCTGCATATACTGGATTTTGGCGCTCCAGTCTGTTTGGACTCTCACCCTCCCAGGACCTGGAGGGAGGGGGGAGGAACTTGAACTTCCCACAGGGCAGGAAACCCTGACTGCTCTAGGGGATGGAGAGGGAGGAGGAGAGGGAGTGGGGGGAGTGGGAAGGTGTTGGGAGGAGGGGCTGAAATGGAAACTTTTATAATTTAATAAAAAAATAAAAATAAAAATAAAAAGAAAAGGGAGGGCCACACGTTTGAGGGAGGTTTGATAAAAATCTAGAATTTGATTTTTAAACATAGAAAGCTAAGTACGTTTAGTAAGGAGTTAATGAAGATGTCAGAGGAGAACTCAGATTCTCAGACACTTAGGAGAGATAATGCTCTGCCCCAACCCACTTTTTCTGCCTTTGGTGGAGTTGTTACTTGAGATGATTGTTAAATACGATATTCCTATCCACTCCTTAAGTCTACTGAATGATAAGGTTTTTATATTTGGTTTTTTGGTTTGTTTGCTTTTTGGCTTTTTTTGTTTGATTTTTTGTTTTTGTTTTGTTTTGTTTTTGAGACAGGGTTTCTCTGTGTAACAACCCTAGCTGTCCTGGAACTAGTTTTTGTAGACCAGGCTGGCCTCAAACTCACAGAGATCCGCCTACCTCTGCCTTCTGAGTGCTGGGATTAAGTGTGTGAGCCATCACTGCCTGGCCATAAATTCTAGTTTTAATAAATATTCTAGATGATCATAACTCACGAAATGGCTAACTGTCCATGCCAACGTTATACTCAGTACTCACTGCATCTTTGGGAAATCTTTCACTTTTGTGCTTAAACTACAACTCGGTGCATATAGAAGTGTGGACCAGGACATCCATGTGCTGTGTTGGCATGTGGTGGCTGCCTATTAACTGGTAGCTACTGTTATTATAGCCCTGGTACCAATTATCCTAAATTAACTGTCTATCATAAATATGGAGACACTTTATCTTAGTTTTTAATTATGTCTAACAGTGTATATTCGGTTAGGAAAACTGTTTTTCTTGACTCCAGTTGCCTCTTTTATTAAGCAAGCTTCTAAATGGCGTGAGCACTTACAGTTTCCACGTAGTCATATACTTTAAGAAGAAATGAAAAATAAAATCAAACCAAAGAGGCAGTTTTCTATGAGAACATCCAGCATGTCTCCTAGGACATCTCAGAAAAACGACACTGACGGAAATTCTGATTCGTAGAAATTGTCTTAAAGCCGCGTTGGATGGGAACTTATCTTTGATCTGTTTCTTTCCTCACAGGGTAAGAGTCACGCACTGCCAAGTCACAAGCACTGATCGGTCCTCTTTTTGATGAAGGAAGTGGAGCCTGCTGATGGCTTCAGCCTTTCAATTGTCGCTCTTCATGAGAGTCTTATTTCTGTACATACACAGCTGTGTGGAGATGAAGTATTTTTTCATGTTGTAAATAATTTATTTAATATTTAAGTGTTATTTATTTTATAGCTCATTAAACTTTTTTAAACAAACAGATTGAGAGTTTGAATATTAGTTTTGAAGTCTCAAGGCTTCAGGGCCCTCTTCCCCTGAAGTTTGGTTGGGTCAATCATTGACAAAGGCTCCCTCCCGACTCTTCACTGTTTGTTTTTTGCTTTCATCATTTGAAGGGGGTCTCCATGTAGAAACATGATTCTCCTGCTTATAGGTATGGGTGCCTGCACCTGGCTTTAAAGAGTACTCTAAAGGAGAAAATTTAGTCCCCTCATTCACAAACACTAGCAATTGTGATAATAGTAATTCCAAACTGACCTTTCCTATTCCATGTAGGACTTATATGAAATTATGTAAATAGCCAAAGCACACACACACACCCACATATGCACATATACACACACATACATGCGTGCATACATATTTCCGTGTTCACACTCCCTGTTCATTGCTGTGGTGAGCATAGATGAAGAGACAGGAATGCACTGAAAATTACAAAAGTCACTTTTCAAGAGAACCAGCAAACTTGCAGAATAGACTTCCTTTCCTTTCCGAACACAGTATATATTCATGGAAATCCAACACCGTCTCTTCCCTCCACTTGCTAGGGTTCTCACAGTATGTGTGCTTGTTTGGATGGTGCTGTTTTATGATCATTAAAGCTAAGGGGCCATAAACAATGTAGTGCCTGGCTGGTAGTTATATGCATATAAAATGAAGGAACCTTCATAATGGGGTGGCAGTTTGAGAAGGAATGATCATCATTTAGCAGTAATCATATCGACTGTCATGAACAGAAGTGCCATAAGCATCAATGGTTCATCTATCTCTGACGTACAAGCAAACCCTTGCCCATTGATCACAGCACCATTGGTTCCTAGCCTCAGCTACATATATCACTTGAAGAAGTTGAGAGTCTCTGAGCACTCAAATAACCCCTCCCACTCCATGCTGCTGACTTGAATGGGCTGGAGTGAATTATGTCATCTGTATTTATAAAAAGATTCTTAAATGTTTATTATATGTTGCCAATGTTGACTCTTTGATTTACTTCTGTTGAACATCTTTAGCATACATATCTCTCGGTCTTATTCACCCAATATGCACTCCAGCTGGATGCAGTGCAAGGCTAGGGATGCAGGACAACCAAGTCATGGCTTGGACACATTTCCCACCTCACTGGTGAGAGCCTTGTGTATTTTCAATGCAGTTTCAGAAGCAACCAGCTGAGACATGCCCGAGGAATCCATGCTCCCAGCCAGCCCATCTTGGAGGAGTCAGGCAAGTCCTTCCTCCAGAGAGACTACCTGGGACTGTCCTTGAAGGATGAATAGGTAGGAAGCTATGCTACAGGCGTCACCTACTACAACAACAAAGAAATGACAGCCACCAAATAGTATGCTCTGACAAAGAACATAGTTCACCGTTGAAATTGGAGTCAAGAGAGGTCTAAAGAAGGCGAGGATGGTGAAGACAGAGTCACACAGGACTTTTAACTTAAGCTAAGATGTGGAACACAACTGGACAGAAATCAGGGGTGATTTACCATCCAGGTAGGGCATGCAAGCACTGTCTTGGTGAGAGACTTATCCAAACCCAGAGGTCAAACGACCAGCATGGTAAGCGGTGAAAATATTCTATGTGAAAAATTAATGTCTACACCTGGGAAGAAGAGAAACTTGACATGGATTTCAAGTTTTATTTATTTAGATTGAACATAAAACCAAGGCTATTCATTATAAAAAAAGAAAAACAAATATGAAGGCAATAAGGTAGTAAGGGAAAGAAGAAATGATCCTGAAATGATCCCCCAAGTTTTTGGATGTAGCAGTCAGGTGACTAGGGACTCTATGAGTTAAAAAGTAGAAAATCCCCTGGAATGGCTTACTAAGTTTTTTCAGAACACAAGCATGAATTCCATGAACCCTTGGCTGAAGAGCATGCCTTCTTAGATGATCTCTAGTGTCCCTTTCTATAGTCTCCTGTAGTCAAGGTGTTTGTTGGGCAGGGAGGATTCTATCAGATCATGAGGGGAGTAAGGTATGTTTTTAGTGCCCTCCCTCATATATAAGATATCTAAGTAGCCTGTTTATAGCTTGGAGACCTAAATAAGATGATTTTTTTGTTTGATCTACTTGTGCTACCTCTATAAAAAGTTCCCTGTTGTTTCCCTTCCCCATCATCTCTTAAAAGATGACTGATCTCTTGTTTATGATGTGCACACACTGCATAGCAAACACAGAAGTAGATATATCAGTCAGATAAATCTGGGAGATACACAGTTAATGCTGGATGTTCTTCTTTAGCCAAAACAGTGCCTCCACTCTCTGAAAAGGCTGTCATTCAATTAACTGGATAAGAGCTACAATGCATGTTTTGCCCAAGAGAAGTTCATGAAGTGCTAGTTGGATTAGATTAGAATACTATTCCTTCTTGGAGTGAAATCCTACTAATTCTAGGGTTCAATAGAGAACATATCCATTACTTCAATGCATAGGCTCAGAGCTAAGTCAATGGCTAAATGTAGTTCAGGATAATTAAGAAACAAATTCCTACAATGATTGCTGTCTTATTCCTGAGTGTCTCCAGCACTGAGGCACCATGGGAGTTAAGTATGATATCAACTAGGTTCTCTGCTTTCTTTAGATCTAAATAAGTTCCTTAATTTCGTATGGTGTGTGTGTGTGTGTGTGTGTGTGTGTGTGTGTGTGTGTGTGTGTGCTGTACTGCAGTTAAAAAAACTTAAGTTTTTGTTGAGCTTACTTACTTGAAGCCTTCCTCCTGGACAGTGTGTCTACATTCGACTCTCTTACTTGCCCCCAGGTAGGTAAGTTTTCCCTACTATACAATCTCCAAAAACTTTCAGTTAAGTTCTTATTTTTGTAGCTCTTTAATTATTATTTCTCCTGCCAATGATCTCAAAGATTAAATCCCGAGGGCAGGTACTGAATCTCTTCCACTCCTCAATGAATCGTCTTAATTGACAAACTAATAAGTGAGGAATATCACATCATTATCTTGTAAAATTCTCATCATTACAGAAAGCATTTTGCCCCCAGGAGAACTGTATGGAGGCTAAATTAATAATGTCTACACTCCTCAATAAAAATCATTTTATGGATTGTGGACTAACAATAATTTCCCAGTGGACCTAAGGGTTTGTAAAATTAGACACAATTTCCAATCAGTTTTCATGGGTCTTAGGCTGCTATTCTATCCAGGGGAAGTCTCTGGGATCTGTCATGCTCTTTGCCACTAGAACTGACTGTTTCTTTCATTTGTTCAACTAGTATATCTTTTGTTAGCATAAAATACACTTGTGCCACATGAAATACATTGTGCTTGGTGAGTTGGCTTGCAAGAATAACATGTCTGTGCCTTAAGAGCTGCAACTCATTAAAGACAATTCAGAGGAGATGAATTAGTCTAACAAAAGATGGTCATCATGTTACCTGTGTTTTCATTACCAGCAAGCATATGATTTCATATAAAATAGACCAGAGAATGGGATTTTCTTATTACAGTCAGGAAGTGTTTATGTACAAAATCTACTTATACTTTAAAAACTGGGGAAAAGTTAACATATTTCCTAAAAATTATAACACTAGAACCATAACCTATTGAAGAATTTAAACTTTGTAGCAATCAATAGTTGCTTCTGTAAGATTAAGAAAAATGAGGGGAGGAGGGTTAGGGAGATGACTCAGTGGGTGTAGTGTTTACCATGTGAGCAAGAAGACCTGAGTTTGCATTCCTAGCAATCATCAAAAATCTGGACATGCTGCATACACCTGTAACCCCAGCCTGGAAAACAAAGACCTGCAGGTCCCTGGAGCTTGATAGCCAGACAGTTTAATCTAACCAATGAGATTCAAATTCAGTGCGAAACCCTGTCTCAAATATCAGATAGGAGATCAACGTCAACGTCTGGCCTCTATGTGGATGCATGGGAAGCATGTACCACATGAACAAGCACATCCTCTACACACCAACATACATACCATAGGGATATATATATATATATCCATTGTTACTACTATAATTTAGAAATGAATGTAAGACATATAAGATTTTGTAGAAAAGAAATAGGCCTGGCAGAATTAACAGACCAATTATAATACCATCGTAGAATCTCATGACATTTCCAGATCCAAAATTTCTAATTTCTTCACAATGACAAATTAGCTCAATAAGAAAACAAAAGCACAGTAGCATTAAAACATTTCAGGGAGTTATAAGACATTGTGCATTAACAATAAACACAAATTTGTATTAAAAATGTTTTAAGCCTGGAGCGATGGCTCAGCAGTTAAGAGAGCGTGCTGCTGTTCTGGAGGAGCAGGCTCCATTTCCAGCACCCACAGGGCAACTAACTTCTGTCTGTGACTCCAGTCTCAGGGGATCCCTGGCCCTCCCCGGGTTTTTGTGGGCCCTGGATAGATACACAAATAGTTCACAGACAAGCATGCAATGCAAGCAAAACACTCACACACAAAGAAAATTTAATAAATTATTAAGGAAATATTTTAGATACCTATTAAAGGGAAACAGAAAATGTCAGTCATAGAGAGACATTATTTTGAACAAACTTTTATACTGTAAAGAGGTAAACTGTCTTTCATAAGTGATCTTTAAATTTAATAAAATATTAATAAAATTGCAACTGGATTTATTTTTTTTAGAACTTTGTCTTAGTTAGGGTTTCGATTGCTGCAACAAAACGCCGTTACCAAAAAGTAAGGAGGGGAGGAAAGAATTTATATGGCTTACACTTCCATATTGTTGTTCATCCTCAAAGGAAGTCGGGAATAGCACTCAAATAGGGTGGGAACCTGGAGGCAAGAGCTGATGCAGAGGCCGCGGTAGCGTGCTGCTTTCTGGCTTGTTCCCCATGGGTTACACAGCCTGCTGTTTTATAGAACCCAGGACCACTGGTCCAGGGATAACATAAG